AGGGAAGTGCTTATTCCACTGAGCCATCTCCCAGGCCCTAACAAAATATTTTTAAAATATGGAAGAGATCTATTCTTTTTTTTTTAATTGTGTGTGTGTGTGTGTGTGTGTGTGGCCAGCTCAGCCCACCAGGGGGCGGGGCGGGCTGGCATGTGGTGCCGGGGGACCGAACCGCGGTCCCTGTGCTTTGCTAAACTTGTTCTAAGTAGGTGCTCTAGACCACTGAGCCATCTCACCAGCCCCAGAGATCTATTCTTAATTACAGCTTTTCCCCTTCCTTTTAGACTAAATCTGTTTCTTCCATAGTCTGTATCAGTAAAGTCATAGAAGTTTGGTCCTAAAATATATTTTTTATTTTTATGGCCAAAAGCCTTTCTAGGAAAATTGCACCTGTGGATACCTAGCTAGTTATGGTTTTGAAAGAGTATTTGAATAGTTTGTTTCTTATTGTGCCTCAAAGCTGTTGCTTTACTGTATAAAAATAGTCTCTGCCAATGTAGTCTACTGTAAAATTAAGAAAAGTTCTTTTGACACTGTGGAACTGACATGCATACTTCTGTACCCCCACTTATTTCCAGGGGTAGAACATTGAAGTATTTACATCTAAATCCAGAGAAAGGGCCAGGACATAGCTCAGTGGCCTAAGTGCCTGCTTGGGAAATGCAAGGTCCTGAGTTTGATCCCCAGCACCAAAATAAAAATAAAAGTCAGTAGTCATTTAAAGTGGAGCATGCAGAGAGAAGTGTAAGCAAGTTACACTGTTACATAAGGTTTATGATAACTATACTATCCTTGAATTACATGATTTTTGTAATTAATTTTTGCCATGGATAGTTTTTTTTTTGTTTTTTTTTTTGGGTGGTATCAGGGATTGAACTCAGGACAATGAGCTATCTCCCTGGCCCTGTTGCCTAGTCTAAAATTCTTAAGGTAGGCTTTGGGCCTGGACTCCCAACGCGCTCCGGTGGTTTGGACAAGATGAGCTCGATTGGAACCGGGTATGATCTATCAGCCTCTACATTCTCTCCTGATGGAAGAGTTTTTCAAGTTGAATATGCTATGAAGGCTGTGGAAAATAGTAGGCAGTAGCAGGTTTGCTGGCGGATGCTCGGTCTTTAGCAGACATAGCAAGAGAAGAAGCTTCCAACTTTAGATCTAACTATGGCTATAACATTCCACTGAAAC